TGGATGTCCATCTCCACCACTGGGGCAGCGACACTTTCCATGTCAGGGGCCGACACCTCCCCCTTTTGGCGCCCTTCAGGTCCAGTTTGGGGCCCCTTGATGTCCACCTGGGGGCCTTTGAAAGTCTACTTTGGGCATCTTCATGCTGGGCATCTGCACCTTGGGCATGTGGCCCTTGAACGTGGCCCCTTCTGCTTTGCCTTCAGTTCTCCAAGCTTCACTTCTCCCTCGGGGACGGTCACCTCCCCTTTGGCGCCCTTCAGGTCCACTTTGGGCCCCTTGATGTCCACCTGGGGGCCCTTGAAGTCTACTTTGGGCATCTTCATGCTGGGCATGTGCACCTTGGGCAGGTGCCCTTTGAACCCCATTCCGGACGAGGGTCCCTCCAGCTCTCCCTCAGGCAGGTGGCCCTCCGGGAGCTTCACTTCCAGCTCTCCTGTCTTGATGTCCACGTCGCCAGATGGCAGGTCAATGCTGAGGTCACTGGCCTTGACGTCAGTCTGGATGGAGGGCAGGGACACGTCTGCCTCAGCCTTTGGCAGCGACACGTCCATTGAGGCCTCCAAGGACTTGCCTGGCCCAGACATCCCGAAGGAAGGCATCTTGAACTTGGGCATCTTGAACTTGCTGTCTTTGCTGGCCACCTCTGTGTCCCCAAGGACGATGTCTCCCTCCAGCTTGGCGCCCGGAGCCTGAATGTCCACCTCCACACTGGGCAGCGAAACCTCCATGTCGGGGACGGCCACCTCGCCTTTGGCGCCCTTCAGGTCCAGTTTGGGCCCCTTGATGTCCACCTGGGGGCCCTTGACGTCTACTTTGGGCATCTTCATGCTGGGCATCTGCACCTTGGGCATGTGGCCCTTGAACGTGGCCCCTTCTGCTTTGCCCTTCAGTTCTCCAAGCTTCACTTCTCCCTCGGGGACGGTCACCTCCCCTTTGGCGCCCTTCAGGTCCACTTTGGGCCCCTTGATGTCCACCTGGGGGCCCTTGAAGTCTACTTTGGGCATCTTCATGCTGGGCATGTGCACCTTGGGCAGGTGCCCTTTGAGTCCAACTCCGGAGGAGGCTTCCTGGAGCTCTCCCTCGGGCAGGTGGCCCTCCGGGAGCTTCACTCCCAGCTCTCCTGTCTTCACGTCCACGTCGGCAGATGGCAGGTCAATGCTGAGGTCACTGGTCTTGATGTCAGTCTGGACGGAGGGCAGGGACACGTCCACTGAGGCCTCCATGGACTTTCCTGGCCCAGACGTCCCGAAGGAAGGCATCTTGAACTTGGGCATCTTGAACTTGCTGTCGTGGGCTGCCACCTCCTTGGAACCCAAGACAATGTCGCCCTCTAGCTTGGCGCCCGGGGCCTGAATGTCCAACTCCACACTGGGCAGCGACACTTCCATGTCAGGGGCCGACACCTCCCCTTTGGCGCCCTTCAGGTCCAGTTTGGGCCCCTTGATGTCCACCTGGGGGCCTTTGAAGTCTACTTTGGGCATCTTCATGCTGGGCATCTGCACCTTGGGCATGTGGCCCTTGAACGTGGCCCCTTCTGCTTTGCCCTTCAGTTCTCCAAGCTTCACTTCTCCCTCGGGGACGGTCACCTCCCCTTTGGCGCCCTTCAGGTCCACTTTGGGCCCCTTGATGTCCACCTGGGGGCCCTTGAAGTCTACTTTGGGCATCTTCATGCTGGGCATGTGCACCTTGGGCAGGTGCCCTTTGAACCCCATTCCGGACGAGGGTCCCTCCATCTCTCCCTCAGGCAGGTGGCCCTCCGGTAGCTTCACTTCCAGCTCTCCTGTCTTCACGTCCACGTCGGCAGATGGCAGGTCAATGCTGAGTTCACTGCTCTTGACGTCAGTCTGGATGGAGGGCAGGGACACGTCTGCCTCAGCCTTTGGCAGGGACACGTCCACTGAGGCCTCCAAGGACTTGCCAGGCCCAGACATCCCGAAGGAAGGCATCTTGAACTTGGGCATCTTGAACTTGCTGTCTTTGCTGGCCACCTCTGTGTCCCCAAGGACGATGTCTCCCTCCAGCTTGGCGCCCGGAGCCTGAATGTCCACCTCCACACTGGGCAGCGAAACCTCCATGTCGGGGACGGCCACCTCGCCTTTGGCGCCCTTCAGGTCCAGTTTGGGCCCCTTGATGTCCACCTGGGGGCCCTTGACGTCTACTTTGGGCATCTTCATGCTGGGCATCTGCACCTTGGGCATGTGGCCCTTGAACGTGGCCCCTTCTGCTTTGCCCTTCAGTTCTCCAAGCTTCACTTCTCCCTCGGGGACGGTCACCTCCCCTTTGGCGCCCTTCAGGTCCACTTTGGGCCCCTTGATGTCCACCTGGGGGCCCTTGAAGTCTACTTTGGGCATCTTCATGCTGGGCATGTGCACCTTGGGCAGGTGCCCTTTGAGTCCAACTCCGGAGGAGGCTTCCTGGAGCTCTCCCTCGGGCAGGTGGCCCTCCGGGAGCTTCACTCCCAGCTCTCCTGTCTTCACGTCCACGTCGGCAGATGGCAGGTCAATGCTGAGGTCACTGGTCTTGATGTCAGTCTGGACGGAGGGCAGGGACACGTCCACTGAGGCCTCCATGGACTTTCCTGGCCCAGACGTCCCGAAGGAAGGCATCTTGAACTTGGGCATCTTGAACTTGCTGTCGTGGGCTGCCACCTCCTTGGAACCCAAGACAATGTCGCCCTCTAGCTTGGCGCCCGGAGCCTGGATGTCCATCTCCACACTGGGCAGCGACACTTCCATGTCAGGGGCCGACACCTCCCCTTTGGCGCCCTTCAGGTCCACTTTGGGCCCCTTGATGTCCACCTGGGGGCCCTTGAAGTCTACTTTGGGCATCTTCATGCTGGGCATGTGCACCTTGGGCAGGTGCCCTTTGAACCCCATTCCGGACGAGGGTCCCTCCAGCTCTCCAAGCTTCACTTCTCCTCGGGGACGGTCACCTCCCCTTTGGCGCCCTTCAGGTCCACTTTGGGCCCCTTGATGTCCATCTGGGGACCCTTGAAGTCTACTTTGGGCATCTTGGGCAGGGACACGTCTGCCTCAGCCTTTGGCAGCGACACGTCCATTGAGGCCTCCAAGGACTTGCCTGGCCCAGACATCCCGAAGGAAGGCATCTTGAACTTGGGCATCTTGAACTTGCTGTCTTTGCTGGCCACCTCTGTGTCCCCAAGGACGATGTCTCCCTCCAGCTTGGCGCCCGGAGCCTGAATGTCCACCTCCACACTGGGCAGCGAAACCTCCATGTCGGGGACGGCCACCTCGCCTTTGGCGCCCTTCAGGTCCAGTTTGGGCCCCTTGATGTCCACCTGGGGGCCCTTGACGTCTACTTTGGGCATCTTCATGCTGGGCATCTGCACCTTGGGCATGTGGCCCTTGAACGTGGCCCCTTCTGCTTTGCCCTTCAGTTCTCCAAGCTTCACTTCTCCCTCGGGGACGGTCACCTCCCCTTTGGCGCCCTTCAGGTCCACTTTGGGCCCCTTGATGTCCACCTGGGGGCCCTTGAAGTCTACTTTGGGCATCTTCATGCTGGGCATGTGCACCTTGGGCAGGTGCCCTTTGAGTCCAACTCCGGAGGAGGCTACCTGGAGCTCTCCCTCGGGCAGGTGGCCCTCCGGGAGCTTCACTCCCAGCTCTCCTGTCTTCATGTCCACGTCGGCAGATGGCAGGTCAATGCTGAGGTCACTGGTCTTGATGTCAGTCTGGACGGAGGGCAGGGACACGTCCGCTGAGCCATCAGTAATTAACATTGCTCAGAAGCCTCAAGGAAGGGCTTTGTCAATTTGATCACACTATGACTGTATTTCGAGGATTGCACCTCGATGTAATTCACATAGAGTTAATCTTCGAGTGTGGCGTC